AAACCATGCTGGGATTCCATGAACTAGCTGATAGTTAAACTCATTCCCATGTTCTTTTCCAGACACTCTTGGAGCAGTGCCAGAGGATGGAAGTGGATCTGAGCTCCCTGCGGGATTTGCTAGATGCAGAGAGACGAGAGTTTCGGGATGTCCGAGAGAGGATGGAGCTGGAGCTAGCAGAGGCGAAGCTGTCCTCCCATCGCCTGCAGGAGGAGGTGCAGTGTGTCTCGGCACAGCTGGGAGAGGCAAGAAGAGCACAAGCTGAGTTGGAGGGGAAGTATAAGGACTTGGAGCAGGACCGAAGGCTGGAGGTGGAAGAGAAGAACCTTCAGATCAGGTTCCTGGAGGGTGCTGAGCAGGAGCTGCGATCCAGCCACGCGGCCTTTGCCGCCGAAAACCGTCAGCTGAAAGGGGAGGTCACGCGGCTGTTGGCGCTGTCTGTGGAGAGCAGCGCTGCTGTACAGGAGCTGCAGGGTGAGCAGCGCGGCAGCTCGCTGGGGCGGGTTCTCAAGAGCCAAAGCATCTGTGGGCTGCCCTCTGCTTGGCGTTGGTTTTGTAATGGCTGAGAGGAAAGCATAGGTGTAACAATTCCTGATTGCACGGGAGCGCAGGGGTGACTGGGCTGTGTCACACTGAAGGGCTCTGGTGCAATCCCACGTTTTTGCCTCTGGCTGGGGCCGAAGCCGGTTGCCAGAGGAGCAGCGTATCTGGGGGCTCCCGTTGGGTCCTGTCCCAGTTTTGGATCCTTTGGGTTTTAGGGATTTCTTGAGCCAGATGGGTTTTCATTAATTTGAATGACTCATGGGATTTTTTTCATCAAGTTCTGTAAACGGAGATGTGCCACCTTTTTCAGGGCGTGAAGCTCTGCTAGAGCGTAAGTCAAGCGGGGGAGGGCAGCAGGCCGTGCCCTGCGCTGTGGGCCCATAGCAGCACGAGTAGCATCCACCTTGCCTCCGGCCGTGGCCTCACACCCGTTCTCTCCTGTGAGGCGTGACCCTGTGAAGTGCCGTGCAGACGTGTAAACCGGGGGTGTTCGGCCGGAAAGGCAGGGACACACCCCAGCTCCCTTTTTCCTCCCTCTCCATCAGATGAACTTCTGCAGAAATCCGAAGAACTTGTCTGCTGCCAGGATGAGCTGAAATCACGGTTGGTGGAGATCTCGGAAATGAGGAAGGAACAGGTATGACTTTTTCATAGGAGGCTCCTGAAATTTTCCTGTTTGAGGAACCGAACCCACGGGAAAAGTCTGGAGTTCCTTTTTATGAGTTGCTGCTGGAGAAGACTCTGGGCTCTCTCAGCCGGCGGGCAGAGGCTGTGGGAGTGGGGGAGAGGCAGTTTGAGTTGTTGGAAGTTGCTGATGGATTTGGTAAAAGGTTGAGTGAAGGATTGGACTAATGCGTGTGTATAAACTGTGGGAATTGCTCTCTCTCCCCCCATCCTATGTCTAAACAGGATGAAAGAACTTCACAGGAAAAGGCAGTAGATCAGGAATACTGGAATGGGACTTCGCTGCTCCCCACAGGAGACCCGGAAGGACGGAGTTCTGCAGGTGGTACCATCGTCTTACCCAATTTTACGTGCCTGAAAGATTCAGGAATGTTTTTCTTACATTTAGGTGATGGATGTGCCCGTGGCTACTGGTCCATGATGCGTTCGCTGCCAAGGTCTTCAAAACTACCATGGAATTCTTTCCTTTTGCCTTTAGAATTAAATTCAGTTTTAACCACTGGAACCTGGGCTATGGAAGGTGTCCCTGCTTGTGGCAGGGGGTTAAGGTCCCTTCCCACCCAAACCAATCTGTGATTCTGTTTGCTTCCCGGGCACTGAATGGGCGTAAACCACCTGACCTGAGGACGGGAAGGCTGGGCAGCGTAGGCCGGGCTGCGCAGGGCTGTCTCGCGATACGCAGCGCTGGCTGGTGTTGCGGCCGCGAGGCAGCGGGTGGGACTTGGCACCCGTGTGCTCATGCCTGTCGTGTTCCGCACATGCTTTCTGTGCTGATGGCTGCAGAAGGCGTGGGGGACGGGGTGCTGGGATGGAGGCAAGGCCGATAATGCTCTGTGACTGCAGACTTTTCCACAGGAGGGTGCCACAGGGAGCTTTGCTGGGACGGGGTGCGGGATGTTCAGTGAGTGGTTCCAGTTCTCTGGGGTTTGACCCACTAATGTCTGTTATGCCGAAGGGTGGTGAATGAACACTGCGTTCCGGTTCGCTGCGTGCCCCTCTCGCTGTGCACTCCGTTGTCTTTCATCCTCTGACCTTGTGCTGCTGTAAAGTCTGGCTCTGTCTTCTCCCTAACCTCTTTGGAGGTGTTGGGAGCTGCTTTTAGGTCTCCCCAAAGCTGCTGCTCTCTGGGCTGAGGGCACCTCTTTCCCACAGCCTCTTCACACAGGGAAAGTGCTCCAGTCCTGTGACCATCGTGGTAGACTCTGCTGAAGGTTGTCCAGTTTCTCAATGTCTTTCCTCTCCTGGGGCTCCGAAGCGGAGCGTGGCACTTGGAGCATGGATAATCTCTGTGGCGGATCTGCTGGCTCGGCTGCGGCTCATGCAGTCAGGATGTTATTGGACGTTTGCTCCCAGGCACACTGCGGGCTGATGTTTAGCCCGAGATCTAGCAGATCCCTTCTTGCAGAGCCCCTGCATTCCAGGGCCGGGACTGGACATTTTCCTTGGTTGCATTCCATGAGATTAGCCGCGGCCAGCGTGAGGGCCAGCCCTGCCGGCGGGCTCAGCTGCTTGCCCACTGCCTCGTGCTCTTCAAACTCGGGTGGGGACTCCGTCACCTCCTGGTCATGGATTAGGTTGTTGAGCCAGAGAGGCCACAGACAGATCTCTGAGATGTTCCACTACAAGAGCCTGTAGTGATAGGACAAGGGGTAATGGGGATAAATTGAAATCAGGGAGGTTTAGATTAGATATCAGGAAGAAATTCTTCACAGAGAGGGTGGTGAGGCACTGGGACAGGTTGCCCAGAGAAGCTGTGGATGCCCCATCCCTGGGAGTGTCCAAGGCCAGGCTGGATGTGGCTTTGAGCAACCTGGTCTAGTGCAAGGTGTCCCTGCCCATGGCAGGGGGGTTGGAACTAGATGATCTTTAAGGTCCCTTCCAACCCTAACCATTCTATGATTCTATGATTCACTTGCCACTGGCCTCCAGGTGGAGTCTGACCTTCTCACTGCTCTTCTCTGAGCCTCCTCAGACCAGTTTTCTGTGAGTCTTTCAGTTCAAGCCACTGCTGCTTAGTGTTGATACGAAACTGGTGTGAGACGCTGGCAAAAGCCTCGCTAAAGCCGAGGTAAATGTTCCCCGCTCTCTCATACAGAGGTGCTGGAAGGGCAGTTGGGTAGCCAAACCTGTGCTGCTCCTCAGCCGCTGCCTCCTCCGTGCGCCCGCTGATGCGCTCTACACAGACTCGCGGGTGGCTCCTGGGGGGACTGAGGTGAGACGCTCTGGCCTGTAGTTTACCGCATCACCACCTCTTGGCTTGGTTTTGAAGGTGGATGTACTGTCTGTTCAGTCACGGCGCCCTTCCCTCTGTCTCCATCTTTCCGTGACGACACTGTCCTTGCAAGGACACTGCTGAGCTGTCCCAGACCCCAAGACAACCTGTCTCTTCTCATAAACTCACATTGCTCCACTTCTCACAACTACTCCCTGCTCATTCCTCAGGAAAAGGCCTGGAAAATGTGGTTGTTGAGGAACGACAAAGGAGGAA